GCCTTTCTTTTTGTTTTCTATATTCTCCAACTCACCAAGTTTCCATTGGACAATACAGAATCCATATCTTAATTTGGAGATTATATCGCTATTAATCTTTCTAATTGTATTGAGGCTGCTATATTTCATATTATTTAATGATGATAGAATAGAAGATACATCATTTAATATTCTTGTACAATATTTATTAATATTTATTTTATCTCCTATTTCAATACCAAGATATTTATAAGGGTTATCATTAGTTACTCTTGGTAATTCAGCTAATTCTCCATTTATCTGACCAATGATATTAGTCATTATCCCACTCTTTTCTACATTTATTTTTAGTCCTATTGCATTAAATATTTCATTTGTTAATTTGTGGGCTTTTTCCATTTCTTCGAGGCTGTTAGTTATTATCTTTAAATCGTCCATATATAAGATGTGGTTTAATTATACTTGTTTTTCTTCTCCATTCATTTTAATAGATAACTTATTAATTTGTTTATCTAATTAATTAGATAATATAACAATAAATAATACATAATAATAATTTAGATAAACTATCACCTTGTATTATTCCTCTTTCTACATTAATTATACCTACATTTTGTTGATTATAATATAATTGGAGTTGTGTATTATTTAATATATATAATATACTTTTAATTACAACTAATGGGATGTTAAAGTAAATTAAACAATGTTTAACCCATTGATGATTAATACTATCATATGCTTTAGAGACATCATAATATGTTTCTACCCACTTCCATTTAGCCTTGATTAATAACTATTGGATTATAGTATTGTATAATAATCCTTCTTTTGATGCATATGTATATTTTTTACATCCAATTTGATTTTGTGACAATTGTTTTTCAATTGGATTTAGCATCAGTTGGCTTTCTATCTTCATCTTTAATAATGATGTGTATACTTTTAACAGACAGTTTAAACAAGTTATTGGTCTGTAATTTTGTGGGTCTAATTTATCTCCTTTCTTGTATATTAATATTGTCCTTCCTTGGATAAATTGAAGAGGGATGTTAGTAGGATTATACAACCATTCATTAAATAATTTTAATAAGAAATTCTTTGGTTGTTCTAAATATTTAATCCAGAAGCCTTGTATTTTATCAATTCCAGGTGCTTTCCAATTAGCAATGAATTTTATTGCATGGTTTAATTCATCTAGATTGATTACGCACCTTCTATTATTAATTCTATTTTCAATTAATATGTCATATAAATTAATATTCAGGAAATCTATATTGGTGTTGTTTTCATAGATTCCTTTCCAGAAATTAATTGTAGTAATATTATCTGGATATTCATCTTCTTTAGGCTTATTTGGAAGTTGTCTCTTTCCATATTTTAACATTTTATAATTCCATCTAATTCTTTTCCAATTATTCTTACTTCTATTTCTATTCTTTTCATTCTTTTGATGTATTTGTAATAGTTTATTTGCTCCTTTGTTTTTACTTTAATGTGATATATATCATATTTTTTAATATGTAATATTCTTTTTAATTTCATATATTGGTTATTATGGAGCAAGTCTCTTAATCTACATATTTTTGATTGTAGTATTCTTTCTATACTTCTCCTTCCACTTCTTTCTTGATTCTTATTAATAATGATGTTAATAGTGGAGGTTATAGTTTTAATATAATGGTAGTAATCATCTAATGTATTGATTACTATTTCATTTGTATTAATGATATTAACTATTTGATGTACTTTGTTTTTATTGTAATAATAATTAATAAATTGTACATCTTCTTGTTCTTTCATATGTTCTTCTTTAAATATTCTTATTACCTCCTCTTCTTGTATTTCTTCTTTCTTATTTATTTTATTAATTCTTTTAATTCAATATCTTTCCATTGGTGTGTTATTAATTCTTCTTCCATTCTTCTATTGACTTCCCTTTTAATTTCATTCTTTATTTTATATGTTTTCTTTATTATTTCTTTATATTCATTAATATCTTCTATTTTAATATCAAATT